CGCTGCCCGCCGATCGCCGCCGGGCCCCTGCCGCTGTCCGCGGTCCTGAACTCGCCGGCGTCCCCCGCCCGTCAGCCAGGGCCGGCCTCTGTCGCTCTCCGTCTCCGGGGCTGGGTGTGTTGTTTGTCACGAAGGAGGATGCTCCTCGACTGACCGTTCAACACGGTTCTTGTGTATTGACCTCACCCCAGAGAAATGCATACTGAGTTTATATAATGTCAGGTTTATATAAGTGAATTCTAGAAGAGGAGCAAGGAGGGTGGGACCACATTAATCCTTGGGCAAACTACTGAAGTCATTGGGATTATACCTGAGATGATGGTCTCCATTTTTTAAAACTGGAAATCAAATCTTCCTATTTTATGTCTTGCATATTTATTAAACGGGTATTAACACTGTATGTAAAATATACTTTTCCATTCACTTCAGGGCTCTACCCAGCTTCTGTAGATGTTAATGGAAAAAAAAATCGTATTGGTTAGTTTGGTGAAACTAAGCTCAGAATCCCTTTTGTATAACAGCCTATGAGCAAAGACACAAAGACTTTAAAAGTTTATTGTTTCATGCTAGTGTTCCAGTAAAAAAGTAAGATAACTGCCCTTGGAATATTTTAGAATAGGCTAAACTCATTGCGGTGTGGATATTTCTGCATTTATAAATGGCTGCTTTCCTACAAACATATGTATGATATCAGAAGCTACTTTGATCTTGTTAACATACCATGCTTTCACTCTCCATTTAAAGTAAAGGCACTCGATATTTGTGAATTACAGGGTTTTAACTTTTAGTCAAAGTTCACATTTTAGCGTTCAGTGCAATAACCTATCCACTAGGTTCTTTTGTGGGGTTGTAGCAGTTCCCATCATAGCATCTTTGTGCCTGTCACATTGTAATGAGGTTACTACTTGTCTCTGCTCTTGTTTTGTGGCTTTACTTGCTCCTCTTGTGCACCTCTCTTGCTATTGAGATGTACAAAGAATGATGGGAATAGTTATTAAGAACCTGATCCAAACCCTTGGAGTAAGACTCTTCTAAGGACTAAGGATCAACCTCTTCCAGACTGCAACTTAAGTAAAGAACTAGCCTGCTGAGACTCAGATACCTTAGCTTCAAGCTTTTTTATTTTGGTTTGTGTAGCCAAAGAAATCAGATGCGGAAAATACCTCTTAACTGATGCTCTACAACTGTTGTTCCCAACAGCTTTTTTTTTCTCATGTGGTTATGCCAGTCCAAATGTTAAGTGTCTGAAATAGTGATCAAAAGAGGAATTCTGGCTTCCAGTTTATATAGCCGTGCATTATGACAGTGTCCCTATTGCATGATCTGTTAGTTTTATTCATGTTGTGAACTGGATTTTTCCTCTGTAATTTCCATTGCAGCTTTAGCTGCTAGTCTCACCTGAGAGACCAGTAATGAGTTCCTATTCTAAATGCTTTCATTCCCCTCCCAAAGTAATCCAAGTTTTGAAGTGTACAGATTCCTTATGACTCATGATATTCTGAAGTAACAATTTTTGTAACTACAGACTTTTTAATAGTAAGTAATGTATGTACTAGGAAACATAGTTGCACCTTTACCACCATAAAATACATGCTGTAGCTTCTAGGACTTTGAGCTTTTAAGTCTGCAAAAATGTAATAGCTAAATAAATGCAATTAATATTTATTATGCATTTTAATATAAACATTTAGATCTAGAGCACCTAAAGTGAAATGCCTAAATCAAATGTAACTTTTTTTGTGTTTGGGTTTTTTTTTTTTTTCTTTGAACATTTTATTCTCTAGGTTCCAGTCAGAGTTTGGGATGCTTAGCCCCTGTGGAAATCCCTCTATCCTATTTCAATTACCTGTCTTCAGAAAACTCATGGTTAGGAAGTTTGGCTGAAACACGCACAGTCAATTTGTAAGCAAGTTCCAGTTGTTCTAGCTTCATTGAATGACTCTGTAACTGTGTCAGTGTCCACTTGTTGAGGAATTGTTCCACATCATCTGAAAGGATTAGATGACCAAACTCAATATATGAACCATCTAATGCAGCTGTTTTTTTTTTTATTTTTTTTTTTCAGTTCATTAAGTTGTTCACAATAGACATTAACAGAAAAAAACTTGCTGCATTTTGAGAGGAAATGCTAAGAAGTCTTACTGAGTGTCACACTTCTAAAGTATGTTTATGGTGTATTTTCCAGAAGAAGTATGTATTTTTGTTAATGCCATCACTTTGTTGACTTAAAAAAAAAAACCAAACAAAACATTAGCCGCCAGGGGTATGCGTAAGTTTATACATATCCTGTCTGTAGATATGAAAAGATCTAACTATCCTGGAGTTGTGTAGTTATTGTACTTTTCTCTAAAACTATTTATACTGATGAATGGGAAAAAGACGTGCCTTTTTAAATAGGTTTTTATAGTTACGGCATTCAAGAACTAGACCGATAGTCTTTTTGTTAAGTCTCCTCTTGACTCCAAAGTAAGCTTTGATTTGGCTGTAATAGTCGTGTAAATGAATAAAGATGAGCTCTATGAATCAAGGCCAAAGTGAGGAGAAACATAGCAGCACAAAGAAAGGAATTAGGTGAGGGAGGGAGGACTAAATGATGTTGCTTGTTGAGTCTGGATTGAAGATTTTAAAACAATGGTGGGTTTTTCATGATTCAAAAGGTTTAAAAATAAGAAATTTTTTGTCAAATAAAGACAGAGTTTTTTTTGAGACTTTCTGATTCTCTAGATTAATTCAAATTGTTCAATGACAGTCTGTAGCTGGTTGTAAAATAATTCTAGAAAAGAAGGCTTCAACTTCCAGCTACCTAAAACTAAATGGAGCAAGTCCTGGCTTTTGACAGGGGTAACATTTCTCAAGAAACTTGTCTTTTCAAGTCTTTTTTTTCCACTAGTTAACTACGCTCTGCCTCCATTGCTTAGAAACATTGTTATGTATAAAGGCAAGACAAGTCTGGTCTTCAGAATACACCAGCAGCCTTGCAGAATCACCTGGGATTTTGGTCCTAAATTCATGGGTTTTAATCTTATTTCAGGTCCTGACATCTGATCAGGTGGAAATTTACGGAGCACATTATTTTGATAAAAATGAAAGCTGGAGGAGAACTCTGTTCCAATAGGGATCCACAGTTACTTCTTGTTAATGTCCAAGTTCAGTTTCTAAAAACAGTTTTAGTGGTTTTTTTTTTTTTTTTCTTCCATCTTCACACTGTAAGGTTTGGGCATGGTACCCTGTTTCCTGACCTGAGTTTTAATAGTACTATTGATCATTTTCTTTTTTTTTTCCCTTGTCACTCTTAGCATTGTGGAATGAAGCCTTCCAGCTTTTTGAACACTTGCAAACATGAATGCTGGAAGTGTATCAGACCACCACTAATAGAATAGTTGAAATGATTTCACTTAGTAAGCAGTACCTCTTCAGATAAACCTAGAGTGCTTATCTAAATAGCAAGAAACAGAACTGCAGGTAGACCTACCTAGTTGCTAAATAGAGTATAAAATTATTCTTTTAACATGCAAAAATGCCAAATATTTGAAGGAATTAGATTATCATTGAGCTTTTCTGAATTTTCCTCTGGATGAATAACGAGTTAATCAGTGTTCGCTGACACCAGTGGAAACACACCTACTCACTTCAGTGGGTTCCACATTAAGGTTGTAAACTTCCCAGTATTATGGCCAATAAATTTACAAGAATGGGGAAGGGTAAATGGAGTTATGGAGGGCTGGAAATACTTTGTCCTTAACAAGCATTTCATGTGGAAATTTTTAATTTGCAAAAACATCAGATATAAGATTGTGAGAAAATCACATGTTGCGAGAATTACGAGCACAGAAATGGCTACCACTTAGCTTTGTCCTTTTATATTGCCATTGCTAGGTATGTAATGAAAACTCTAAATATTAATCAGAAATAATAGTAAATCCATGGTAATGTTAACAGTGTAAAATGTATTTTTCAATGTATACACTATATATGATTTTGTAGACTTCCGGTAAAACTCTTAAACAGGATTGTGCATTTATTTATTTATTTATTTATTTAAGTTAAGGAGTGCAGTTAAATGTAATGAGTGATGATTTATTTTGCTCATGAATGCCCGAGAAGAAATGTCACATCTAGAAAAGCAAGATCACAGTTAACTGGATCTCTCAAAGTGAAAACTGAAAATTTTATATTTATAACTCTGTTGTGGCTCTGAAAAGAACACTGTATTTTCAGCAAAAGCATGGTGATAGCACTGTATAGAATATTTTACTACATCCTTTAGCAATAGCATGGAATATAATATTATTTCCTCCAGCTGCAGCTGATTATAGCAACGAGTAGAATAGTATGTCACATATGAAGACATGATCTTGATTTTGGTTCCTACATTCTTAGTTCTCTTTTCTCCTATATGAAAACACAGCAAAATGTTATTGTTAGAGAATTGGGAAAAATCTCTACGTAATGAGAGATTTTCTTTCTATTGCTGGGCAATGTGAGTTGGGATGGTGCTGGGAGGAAGCTCTATAATAGTTCTATTTAAAAAGAAAAAAAATGCTTCAGGACAAATTCTGTGAACTGGCATCTGTTTTATGTGCTTGAAAATTTTTCTGATTTGTGAGTGGATGGGTGGCAAAGTAAATATTTCAGCGAGGCATATACTTCTTAACATATCTGGATTTTAGGAGTTTAAGTCCCTGCTTGCATATTGAATTGTAAATATGTCCAAATTTTGTACAAGTAGCCCAAACACAAGTACATAAACATTTTGTATTGTGCAGTGTTTTTCTTGTATGGCTGTGCTTTGATCTGCTAATTTTCTGACACCTCTGTTTCTTTTAGTCTTCTCTGTCTCCCCATGTTTGTATCCCAAGCGATAGAGTGGAGAGTTAGTCATTTGGATTTAGGTAAAATAGGAAGTTGTAGCTTCAGATTTCTGAAGAGAAAATTATGTGGTTCAACACTGTTGTCAGATTAGATTATTTTCTAAATAATAGATATGTCTATGAATACTTGTATATGTCTTTATAGAACAATAATTTTTATTTAAATACTTTTTACATGCACCTTATGTTATAAGCCTTGGTCTTGCAAACACTTAAGCACCTGAGAAACTTCACAGTATTACCAGAGCACTTCCAGGGTCACAGATACATCTTATTTTATCTCATTTTTCTAGTACTCTGCATTATTTTAATTTTATTACATTTTCTGTCTGCAGACATCCTGAGCTTGATACAAGCCACCCTCCCAGGCAGCCAGGTAAGCCTCCAGATCCAGGACCACCAAGTTTAAGTAAAAGCAGAACAGTAGATGTGCTGAAGACAGAACAACGGGCACCTGGACGGAGCCCTTCTTCTATTAGTCTAAGGGAATCAAAATCCAGGACTGATTTTAAAGAAGATCAGAAGCCAAGTATGATGCCCAGTTTTCTCTCAGAAGCCAACCCATTGAGTGCAGTCACTTCAGTTGTGAACAAATTCAATCCTTTTGATTTGATATCAGATTCAGATGCAGCCCATGAAGAAGCCAGTAGGAAACAAAAAGTTACCCAGAAAGATCAAGGGAAACCTGAGGAGCAGAGGGGCCTTGCAAAACATCCAGCTCAACAGCAGTCTCCAAAGCTAGCTGTTCAACAACAAGGACCTGCCAGACCTACCCCCCAGCAAACTGAGTCTTCCAAACCAGTGCCTCAGCAGCAGCAACCTGGGGAACCAAAGCAAGTTCAGAAACCAGGCCCTGGTCACCCAGCAGACTCTAAGATAGAGCAAGCGAAACAACCACCCCAGCCACGAGGACCACAAAAATCTCAGCCCCAACAGTCAGAACCAACGAAGCCTGTTCAACAACAAACTTCTGCAAAACCTTCATCAGGCCCAACAAAACCATCGCCACAGCAACCAGACAATGCTAGAACGTCATCCCAAGCACCACCTCCCACAAAACCGTCATCGCAGCAGCCAGGACCTGTAAAACAACCATCTCAACAGCCGGCACGGCAAGGAGGTCCTGTAAAGCCATCTTCCCAGCAAGCAGGGCCTCCAAAACAGCCTCCTCAACAACCTGGACCCGAAAAGCCATCCGCTCAGCAAACAGGACCTGCAAAACAACCATCGCAGCCTGGACCAGGGAAACCACCTCCGCAGCAAACAGGGCTTGTAAAACAAGTGCCACCACAGGCAGGGCCTACAAAACCATCTTCTCAAACTGCAGGGGCCACAAAGCCCCCGGCACAACAACCAGGACTTACAAAACCACCAGGCCAGCAACCAGGGCCTGAAAAACCCTCACAGCAAAAGCAAGCCGGTGCAACCCAGCCCCCTGAGCCTGCCCCAAAGAAAACCTTCTGTCCTCTTTGCACAACCACTGAACTGCTGCTGCATGCTCCAGAAAAGGCCAATTACAACACGTGCACACAATGTCACACTGTAGTCTGCAGCCTGTGTGGATTTAATCCTAATCCTCATATAACAGAGGTGAGTAGTTTTTAAACTGTTGTTTGCTACCAGAGCACAAAATTAAGTTTACTTTCATTATGTTGAAACATCAGATGTGTTACAATGTATCATCATGATCACTTAAGGCCTTAACAAGTTCAGTGAGAAAAATCATGCTATTTGGGAAAACTGCTTACAAGTAAAAGGGGGTAAAATTGGGGAAAAAAAGAGGGTAATCGTTCTCTGTTTGCACAGTGTTTAGAAGTGTGTTCTCATTTCCTCATCTAAAAAGAGGAGGAACCCCAATGTGACTTTTTTGCCATTTTGCTTGATTTTAAGCATTCACTGTCTATGTTTATAATCTGACCACAATAGTCATGTGCTAATGTGTTTATAAATAAGTAAAATTTGCTGCTATGAGAACTAACTAATCAAAAAAATATAAAAATGAGTCTTCATAACCCCAGTGTGTGTTTTGGAAAAGGATGTGGGGTGGATTTACTTTGTAACCGTGTCAGTGTTCATTAGCTGAAAGCCTGAGTCATGAGTTTTGACTTGGTGATACTCAGGTTATTTAATTCTTGTGGGATGCTAAGAAAGAGATCTCTGTGGACTATTTCTAACCTTGATCACCATTCTTGCTGTAATTATATAATGTAGAAATGGCATAGAAAGTAATATTAGGACTTCAAATGAACTTCTTTTAACCTGATGTTTGCGGTAGCTTGATTTGTGTGCTTATACGTATCCTTTACTTGCTCTGTGTGGGAATAAGGCTTCGTACGAATGTCTGATCTCTTCTTATTGCTTGAACAGCTTCTCATACATCCTGATACGCTAATTTTAAATTTGCAATGTAGCTTGGGTTTGTTTTCAGTAACAACACTTCTATCAATTTATAGGAATTCAGGCATAGCAGACCTGGAACCGAAGACTAACTAGTGATAAATAGCCAGAAGGGGTATTTGGGAAGCTTATTTTTGTCTTGTTTTGGTATTAGTTTAGCTGATCAGAGATGCTGATAGGAAGAAGTACAGACTACTACTATATTCTGAATCTGACAAATAATATCCCTAGGTTTAAAATGGAATCAAAGAATCGCTGAGGCTGGAAGGGTCCTCTAGAGATGATGTAGTCCAACTCTCTGCTCAAAGCAGGGTCGCCTAAAGCAGGTTGCTCATAGCCAGTTTTGAATATCTCCAAGGATGGAGACTTCACAGCCTCTCTGGGCAACATGTTTACTCAGTACCACAATGACTTAAGAACATTGCTAGCAGTTAGATTTCTTTTCAGTGCACATGTTTATTAGTGATACTTTTAGGTGGGTACCTGGTAACAAACAGCAGGCTTTTGGCATCCAGGAAGTATATTATTTATTTATTTGTTGTTAAAATTGCAAATTTAAACCTGAAAGACTAATCACAGTAACCATTGGTAGCACGTTGCATCATTTAGGAGTGTACTCTCTTGTTTGAGTTTAGGGAAATTCAGGATTGAGATGGTTGGCATTAATGCTTGGACTGGAAAAGGAGTGATTTGAACAGCCGTGTGCAGAAATTTCAGAGCATCTGCACCTAACCAGGTGCTCAAAGATTGTGTTATCAGGGCCTATATGAGAAAAGGTCATAAAGCATGTCATACTGGACAGTTTGGGGTAAAAAAAGATATGTTTATGTATAATGGACAAGAAATGTGATTCATTGATGTTGAAGTCAAAGAGGAACTTTTGTAAAAAACTTTACCTTTGAGTTCTGACAGAATGTTTTTCGATCAAAATTTCTTACATTTTTTTGTGGCTGCTGAGTTGTTTATTTCTGTAGTGTGCTTCTGGAGTATCTTGGAGCTCCAAGGTTGTCTTCCTTTAAAACCTTCAGATTTCCCATGGAAATGGTCAACAACTTTGGTATGTTCAAATGAAATGGATTTTGAGAGAGAGAGAGTTTATGTAAGAAGATCTCAAAGTATTTGGAAATTCCATGAATACCTACTAGTTTTTGAAGCGGGTACTCTGTAAGTGTGAAATTCAGGACTTTAAGACAATAAATACAGCTGCATTTAAGACTAACTGATTGCATACATATGTAAAAGCAGATTTGAATTTCATATTACACATTGATATAAACACAGGATATGCATTTATTTCATGATGAAATCATTTCAGTAAACGAAGGTATTGGACATCTAATTTATTCAGCTATTAGTTCCAATCTCCTGACTCCCACTCAGACTTTTCTCATTTGCTCAGCTTTGCACCACCAGCTGTCTTGCTGAAACTTCATTGTGGGTGTCCTGCTCCAATCTGCAGTGAAGTGCAACGAAAATCACATCTGACTTTACTTTGCTCCAACTGTTCAGTAACGATAGAACCTGCTCTGGCACATATAAAAATTTGACTTCTTTCAGCTGCAAAAGTTCCCACTTGAGTTATTCTCAAACTTTCCTTCTAGTTTCCCTTTCCTTCTAATATTTAGATTATTAACAAAAGTTTCTTATTCCTCCTTTACAGTAGCTAACACATTTCTTCCTGTCTAGCATGAAAACCATGGTTTGTGTCTTAGCTGTCAGTTTCTTGATTATGTTGCAAGTTTTTTTCTTTTGGCTTCTCTTTAAGTTCTCCTAAAGTGTTATTGACCAGAAGTCTTTGTCTCTTACCCATGCACTTACTGACTATATCTTCACCTCTTATTGTTATACTTTGACTTTTCCTGCTGTTCTTTTTGCCAGGTTTCATGATTTGGTAATCCTGTGTTGTGCCTTTACCATGCCCTTTATAGCCGCTGTTTTTATTGCTTATGTTAATACACATTGCAAATCAGAAAGCAATAATTTCAAATTGTACGTGGGAAGAGTGAAAGGGATTTATTTAGAAAAGAATTTGTATTACTTTTGTTCTCTAACATTTTCCCCTGTACAGCTGCTTGAACTACCTTCTTAAGATCTTCTTCTTACAAGTTTCTTAAAGGGTAGTTCAGTCTTCATAACTAACAGTGAATTACTCTTCCAGTACAGATCTTCCTAAATTTCTGTATTCTATACTTCTAGCTGATTCTGGAAAGAATGGAGCAGGCTTTACAAACTGGCTCAGGAAGTAGATTGCATGCATTGTAAAACCATTATAAAAAGTACTGATTTTTTAAATTTTTATTCATTCTTTTAATTTAAACCTCTATTTAAAATGCACTCCAACTGTTTTAACTCACTAGAGAGAACTGTGTAACTAAGAGCAGAAAGTGATACCTGTGTTGTCACAAGGTCAGACCCCTTGAACTACTTCTCTGAACCATCTGACACTGTGGTCCCCTTGGGGAAAAGGGAGAGTCGGTATCTTGGTTTTGTACAGCAGTCTAGAGAGAAAACACACCATGCATAATGTGTTCAGTAACATATGTCTCTCTAATCTGTCTAGGTATTCACACTCCACTCATCACCATGGCACATGACTGCTTAGCAACAGTTGCATAAAGTAATGGAAAAAATTACATAAACAGATTTGATGACTGGTACTCTGTTCAATTTTCCTTTCACACATATAAGAACCTTGTAGTAGGTGTGTGTTTTTATTTTATTACATGGTGATTTATTTTTCTAATTTTTTTTAAATTTTATTTTGCCAAAGCCACTCCCATGAGCCATTAGCAACAGAAACCAGCACTTCCCAAAAGAAGATTCAGCCCTCTAGAACATTTGAATAGGAGTAGGCTTTCTGAAAATGAGCAAAGACGTCTGAGGCGCTATCCATTTTGTTCAACACATGTATAGTTTTTGATAAAGCTAGGCAAAAACCATGAACTACTGTAGTTAAATCTAAATGATGTGTGCATATGTTTGATAGCTGGAGTAAATTTTCATCCCAGTGAACTAGTTATTGGAAGATACACACAACATGGACTCAGCAAGGGTTTAAAGTGTAATAATATATCATTACATTCTTTATGATGGACGTCTGTAAAGCTGATGATCAGGTGGCGTGTTAAAGTTGTTAATGTTGGAAACTTGGTTGTAGGTGGGCTCTGCTCCATGAACCCACCCTTGATGAGTATGTGTGCATACGTGAATGCTTGTCTTCTAGGTAGTTTTTAGGAGGGATTATTTTTCATGCATTTTATCTACGCTAGTCTGTATTTCATCCACTGTTACAGTATGCTTTTGAGACACTATTTAAAATTAGTCTTGGAGCCAGGTATTATTTTTTACTTAGATACTTGCTGAAAATTGCGCATTAAGATAATGTGAAGATGTGTATATTGATGCAGGATTTGTTTACTTGCCAAAAGCTCTTGTGGATGGAGGCAAAGTGAGTTCTAAAAAATATGTTATTGGTTCTGACTGACTGTTTTTGAAACAACATGTCTGTATCAAAGTTGAGTTAATCCTAATGGAAAAAAGAGGAGGAAAAAAAAAAAAAAAACAGGTCGAGTTTCCCGAAGTGGAGTGTATAATTTCAGATCAAGTAGAACATTTTACTGGATTTAAACCTTTATTTTTCAATTCAACAGGAAAAATATTTTTTTTAACCCAATCTGAAAATATTTTCTTGTTGTTGTAATTTTTGGGGGGGGATATCTATTTTTGTTTGTTTTTTTTTTTTCTGCTTTTGGTAGAGCTAGGAATTTTCCCTATCAGTTGCTCTAGATACCGCAGCCTTGATTTTTTGCTCTTTCTTTCTGCTTCCATTTTTATGTGCAATCATATCACAACCTTTGGTGATTTAAGAGTGTCATGATTTGGTTCAAATTTTCGTAATGATTTTTGGTATTTGTGTTTATTTTTATTAATGTTCTGCATCTCCAAGTATCCTAAACAGTAGAAAATACATGGGCATGAAGTATTTTCAGTAACTAAAGAGAATTTAAGCAGTCAGAAATGCATTAGTTTTCTTCAGTTACTCTCATTATTACTAGCTTGCACAGGGAAAAAATATATATAATAATTTAAAATACTATTCATATAAGGAAGATGACTGTAATTCTTGTGGTGAGTCTAGGTAAGTTGTGCTTATACTTGCAATAAAATTATTAGAAATTACTCTATTAGGTATT